CCTTTGCTTGGTGCAGAGGCTTACGACATAGATAGCCCAAACCACCAGTCAGTCGAAATTCGGTGGATACCAGCCCACTCAGGTATCGAGGGGAATGAGAAGGCATACAGGCTTGCTAAAGCGGCCTTTAAGAGTCTCCTTGGCGAGTAGATAAATGCGACACTTCCCACGGATCCTAATCCCAGAATAAAATTCACGTATGCATCATTGAACAGATTTGTAAGGGAGCGCATGATCTAGCCGGTGGCACTATTGTGGCAAGAAAATGTACCCAAGTAATACGCAGATATGGATCTCAAGATGACTCGGAAGCGGCCTCTAGAGCTTGCTTTACCAAGATGGGCTTATCACAAGCTGATTGCAGCGAGGACTGGACATGGCGATTTTGCGAAATACCATAAAAGATTCAAACACGAAAAAATTGAAATCAAGTGTGAATGTGGACGAGAAAGATGCCCGTGGTACTTCGCAGAATGCTGACCAGCTGTACGGCGTTGGAGAAGTACAAAGAAGGAACCTCCCAAGGACAAGCAAGATTTTGGGGGCTACAGCATGGGGGAAATTCCTCGAATTCATCACTGTAACGAAATGTTATAGTGGTGAAATCTTAGACCGGTTTGCATAGGCCTTCCTAATTACATCGGCCTTAATGCTTATTAAAATGCCGGGAAAATAGGACACGGCGCAGGGCGCTTACATTCAGTCATACTGTATTACTTTTCCTTATCTTTCTATCATTAGGGTTCTCATGGCGCATAAAGCCATACACGTAGGTAGTAGTGAGTCGGTCGAGATCACATACCCGTATCACGACTGATGGGTGTAGGGCGTATGCCTGATACGAATAGCATTCAAATCAAATCCGAGACTCGGTAAGTTTAAACCGGTGAGAGCCGGCAAAGACGAATTTTTCACCTTCCAGTGGTGCCGGTATAATCGATCAGTATGCTCTGCATATCTGGGATAGCCAAGAAGAATTGCATCCGAATCGAAGTCGAAAGGAACCTCAAGCACATCTCCATTTGACGACTTCTCGACAATACCTCTCTTACCATTCTAATCTGAGTCCTCAACCTCTCTCTAACCATGCATTATCCCGCCTCGACGACCAATAAAGAAGTTGCTCCAATTACATACAGAAGCTTGCTCCATTAATTTCCAGCCATCTCTCACTACATATTTACGACGCTATTAAAACCCGCAAGGAGGACATCAAGTCGAAAAATAAAAAGCCTGGGTCATGGCTTATGGGGGACTGTAGCTCTAATGGGACAAACAACTTGAGGAAGAACAGGCGGCTGAGATGTGGAGCGAGAGAGGAAAGAGGTCTCTGAAGAGTATGTTGGGACCGATATTTTCGAGGGGTTTTGAACTCTGGATTTTTTGTGATCGCCAAGACCAAGATTTCGGGCAATTAGCCAGGAGGGCTTCTTCTGTCGATGAGTCAACGGAACTTTCCAGCGCCCTGGACGGCGCAAAAGAAGCTAGGCTAAGCTACTATACAGTAAACACGCTCTGTCAAGACTTTTCTGACATTTCAGCACAACCTTCGGGAAGGAGTGGAAGGAGGCTAGAAAGGCTGAGTGTGAATTTTCCGAGGTACCCACAAGTCTGCAGCGCCCAGCTGGCCGGCCTCTTCGAACGCTCCAGAAGGGGTACTATGTCTTCGGATTTAGTCCTAATTTCGGGTTTAGGAGAGCTCCGCACCTAATGGTTTTTTGCGATTTTTCCCGGCTGCCATACACCCGCAAATGGCCATCGTTTCGTTGGCTGGAGAGGGGAGATAATGAAGGGCTAAGGACTCCTCTAAGTGTATGATGGAATGAGGACTTGTGGGGGGCGGTACTGTTTGAGGGGAGTTGTATGGGAAGCATAGGAGGGGATATACTACTGGTATAGGTATACTTGGCCTGCAGGCAGAGAGGACTTGCATGTCCTACATAGTCATAGACTCAGACAGGACAATAAAATGAATTAATAATAAATAATCGGTGAGAACTCGGAATAATTGACGCTATCAAGTAGGCCACTTTGTTGACACACACACCTGATTACAAAACCTGTACTTGGTATTACTTTGGTAGTTACTCGAATGAATGCGCTCTACAACCTCAATGACTGAGGGCTTATTATTTCCTTAATAAAACCCATGATACCGTGGCAATAAGAATTGCATTTTTCCAAGGGATTCTGTATCGCGCACTCAGCTATTAAACGAAAAAATACTCCACTGAGGTAAGAGCCCAAGGTTGCTGGGAGTAAAAATATGTATGCCGTGGACTTGAGCTGGGTACGCCCCGCGATGGCCCAAGAAAAATTGGCTACGGGATTTTTGCCGTCATCATAATCAGATTAGGATGGCCTTTTCGTACTGAAATCGCCGGTTATGTTCTCTCAATTCGGCATGCCCAGCTTCCTATATCTAGACGGTGAGTGTATATTTATTGTGCTAATTGAATTATTAACCATCTAGCACAACAATCTCATCTCCGATCCAGGCCACACCTTGTCCAGTGCTCCTATCCTCTTTACGACAACAGATTTCTGATGTAACACCCACAGTGTGTTGCCATTTGTCCAAGCACTCAGCCGTAGAGTTTCGCCACTCTTCCACAGAACCTTCTGCGCCAAAAGTAAAAAATCATGAAGGATTTAATGTAAACCATGGCGCAGCAAAAATATCAAAATGCTTATAGCCTCAGCTGGGCGAAGCCCAGACAACGGAGCCATACGAGGTACACATGTCCATCTGTATCTCCCTTTCTTTAGCATGATTGACCAACTTGATCCAATCCACCATCACCGTATCGTGTGCTGGGTGCGCTTCTGGGACTCATCGGATGGCTTTTCTTCCATTATCAAGGGTTGGTGATGAGTGGAGCTTTGACCCTGAAATCTGGTCTGATCGTGGTTAGCTTCATGATAATAGTGATAGGAGGATATGTTTAGAGATGAAGACGATAAAGATGGCGAAAGCGATTGGGAGTCCTCATCGAAGTGAGGACAAAGGTGTTATGTAATCCCGGCTCTGACGACTCTACGGTGAGAGATGGAGGTTCGTTGGGGATATCACTGATAGATCTTGAGTTTTCATCCCTCATGAAGCGGTTTTAATGAACAGCTCTTCACTCGGTGAAATTAGACACAAGCCTAACCGCTCAAGCTTTTCTACAAACCTCTTGCTTCAATAGTATTCATGTTCAGAAATCGTTACTCCTTTTTAACGCAGTTATGTTAATAGCATGAATGGAAGCTTTAAAGAATTGGTACCTGTCAATTTAAGACTATGCTGGACACGTGGGTTCTTTCTGCCTACGGGCCAAGGATATTCATACATCCTTTGCCACTCTCTTCGAGAAGTGCTCCTCGCGGGTCTTCATTCAATCATGCACCCAGTGGTGTCCTTTTTCCTTTGTAATCTCACCTGCTACTACTACTACTAGTGAAACAATGGGTACCTGTGGGTATGTGACAACCGGGATAACTTGAAAAAGCTACTGGGTGAGGAGCTCCCTAAACTCCGACATCAGGACTGGATCCGAAGTTATCGACTTTAAACTTGTTGTCGACTTTGTATGTGAACGTCTGTTATCACAGACATTGGAAATAATTCATGAGATTGCTTAATGAGAGGCTAGTATTGATTCCGATATAATATTGTAGAAGACTTGTCCCAACTATCAGAGGGCTACAACCTCTTTATCTATCTACAGGTAAATTCCCCATATTCTAACCACGCTAGCCATACAGGAACTAGCATATAAAACTTGATTCGTATCATCAGTTTGGGTTTGAGGTTTACCGTGCATATGCTACTAAGTCGCATGTCTGACTACTATGCGACACTCTCAGGTATCGATCTAACAACCCACACCAAAACTCAAACTACTCATAACCCTGATGATGACCCTATGAGTAATTGTAACAGTAGCCTGCAACATGGCACAATTAGGACTTAAGATTGTCATAGCTAGATAGCTGAATACAATATGAATTAAAAAAAAAGCAAAATTAGGCTAGACATCGTTGACTAGGACCTAATCCGAACACGAAGGCATAGCTACCCTTCTGAAGCCTTACAAGAGACTAGTGAGTGGAGCGCTGAAGACTTGAATGTACCCGAGAGAAACATCCGCTATCTTCCTAGCCTCCTTTCACCATCTTTCATCGTTTATGCTTCGAGAAAAATCAGAGGCTGTATTGAAATTCCAGAAAAGTCTTGATAGAGAGTTTGTTCAGTAGAGTAGACCAGGTCAGATTCTCGGTGTAGTCTTGGATAGTGAAGAGTGTCATGGAATTTTTAGCAATAGAGGCTCTCCTGGCTAGTGTTGGGCTTAATCTCAGTTGCACTGGCTCCTCAACGAAAGATGGCGGTTTGTAGGAGATATAACTGACAATTTTTGAAACGTTATCCTATGATATCGGTCCCTTGGCTCAAGTTATCATTGACTATATTCAGCTCCAGGGCGCAATCAATAAATTGATCGTATGTGGGCCAGATTAGTGTAGATTCCTGCGCTTACAGGCGAGAAAAGTGATTCATGAGATTGTTCGATGAGAGACTAGATATATTTCGACAGTAACGAGTAGAAGAAGTATTCCAAAACTTTTAAACTTAGGATTTCTCACTTTACAGATCCATTTCCATTTTCTACTTTCTCTTGCCATGTCGGATCCAGCATGCAAAATTTGATTCATAACAACGTTTTAGGACTGGAACTGTAGTTACTCAAAAGCTGCATTCTTCTAGCCGGCATAGTAATCGACAGCCTTAGAAATACTCTACCTTGTGATGTTTCTGCATAGTATGCAACACCCTCAGGACCTAATCAGAGCACCAACGCCAAACGAAATTACTCACAACCATGAACACGTTCCCATGAATTGGCAGAATAGCAGCCTACAACGTAATACTGTTGACTAGTATCTAATCCAAGCAAATCATCTTACACCATAGCAGCTCGGCGCCCTCTTTCAGTGTAGTTTTAGGAGATGCACGTCTAGGCATGTCCAATGAGGCCCGATTTGGGAGCTTTATCTGGATTTGTATCTGTTTTGGCAAAGCCGAGGGCCGAGTTCCACGCATCGGCCGTGGAACTATCCTTCGTGCCCAGCCCAGCAATCTTAATTAAGCCGGCAGCCGTGGCGTCTTTAGCGACCTGATTGGCCCCGCAGATACTTGTAACTTGGCTCGAGATGCGCTTTGCGATAACGTTAGGATCCAAATCCTCCACTTGACCCGCGTTGATCTTTGGGTCGATGGCTTGGAATGTAAATTCAGTCTCCTTGCGTCCATTGAGACCAGCTTCAAACTTCATGGTCGGCACGCATGTACCAAACTGCGCGTCCTTGATGGTAGAGGGTACGAAGCCTCCAAATGTTCCAGCAATAGGATCATCAACAGCTCCTACCCCTTTACTGACAGCGGTCTTGGGAGTGGTTGGAAAAAAAGGTTGTGACTTTCTGGAAGATGAAGTTCTAGTTCTTGACTTTCTCCTGCGCCTAACTAACGTGGCGCCGGGTATTGGCGTGGTTATGATGAGGTCGTTTGGATTTCCTTGCATCGTCGTAGTTTCGGCTGAGCCATCGGAAAGTGGAGAAGCACTGACTAATACGCCGTCGGCTCGAACCACCTGGAAGTTGAAGAATCCTTGGGTTATGACCACATCAGCTACGCTTTTACCCTCAGCGTCGAAGGGGATTTGAACTGAGAGAGCTGCATTTGCATTTTCTATTTCTTGGCCGGCAATGGTTGGGTCAACCAGAGGAACGATTCCGCGGAGAGACGGAGTCCCTGGTAGAGCTACATCCCCACACAGGGACGGACCACCGGCTTCTAAAGGCTGACAGTGACACTCAAGTTAGACTACAAGTAACCCAAAATCATTGCAAATCTTTCGGTGAGGGTTACCACTCACATCAAAATCCTGCTCGGCAGCTACAAGGCCTCGCGCTGCGGCGATGGACCGCTCATTTTCTCCGAGTACGACCACAATTTTGTCGGCTAGTCGGAGTTCTATGGATTGTCAGCATTTTTTCATCGTTATTGTGGAATTACAAACTGTCACATGGATTGGCGGCAAGAAGGAGGGTCTGGGAGCATTCCGCCCCGAGATTTGCCGCATCTCCAGGCAGTCCCAGGTCACCCAACTCGATAATTTTTTGAATAGCTTCGCTTTCCTGCGCTTGGTTGAAGCGTGCCTCGATGATAGCAGCTAGCATTGAGAAAAAAATAACGCCATAAAACATTACGCAAATAAAAAGTAAAAACGGTAGAGAGTGTGTATTCGTGTGTGAACTTTTGAGCAGATACAAAACGAATGTTATAGAGGACACAGTCCTGGAATGAGCGTCTTGGAGTTGGACTTGCAAGTTTGGAAAAAGCGACGAAGAAAAAGGCAATTCGATTCCTATTCATCCTGAATGAACCATCAAGTTTCCTTTATATTCATAATCAGTAATAATAGTAAGGACATCGGAAAATAACGGCATGTAAGCTCTTGACTAGAACACTTTGGTAACTCCCGCTTCACGCCTCTAGCAGTGCGATGGTTACGTGTTTTAGCATGAAACAGGAATTAGGAGGCACAAAGACGCAACAGTTGTCCGCGATATATCCTACAAACCGCCATCTTTCGTTGAGGAGCCAGTGCAACTGAGATTAAGTCCAACACTAGCCAGGAGAGCCTCTATTGCTAAAACTTCCATGACACTCTTCACTATCCAAGACTACACCGAGAATCTGACCTGGTCTACTCTACTGAACAAACTCTCTATCAAGACTTTTCTGGAATTTCAATACGGCCTCTGGTTTGTCTCGAAGCATAAATGATGAAAGATGACGAAATGAGGCTAAGAAGGTAGCGGATACTTCTCTAGAGTACATTCAAGTCTTCAGCGCCCCACTCACCAGCCTCTCGGAAGGCTTCAGAAGGGTAGCTATGCCTTCGGATCCAGTTCTGATGTCGGTGTTTATGGAGCTCCTCACCCAGTAGCTTTTTTAAGTTATCCCGGCTGTCACACACCCACAGGTACTGTTGGTATGACAAAGGTCATACACTACAAGCCAATAGGTTCACTTGAAGTTATGAGAGTACTGCAGTACGTAATGAGAACAATTGTTCGATTGGGTTCGATTGATTATGTATATCTCTCCCCTAAACTATAGCCACGAAGTTGGTATCTATCCTCGGATAATAGTTTACCCGATATAAAAGAATTACAAAGAGAACTGTTATACATCATGCAGGGACCACCAACTCCAAACCCAAGATAGACTCAACCGAATTAATCGTTCCGACAGGTACCCACTATTTCACTAGTAGTAATAATAGCAGGAGAGATCACAAAGGAAAAAGGACACCATCAGGTGCATGATCGAATGAAGACTCATGAAGAGAGCCTATCGAAAAGAGTCGCCGAGGAGGTACTGCAGGAAAAACTACTCAAGGCAATGGTATTCTTGGCCCATAGATAGAATAGGCTATAACACGACTGTGATAGCAGAAGCATCAGATGAAACTACCTTAACACGCCGAACCATAATCAGTTGGTTTTGTACTGGGTCAGATTGAGTCATGGGCTAGGCTTTTCTCTCTCAGAGCTCAAGCTTGTTTTGAATCAAGTCATTCAAACCTTTTGAGCAGATTAGTCGTTGTTTATTACAGGGATTCAACGTCGGTATAGATTTCAAACACTGTGTAACTACTAGATAAGCTTAGCGTCTTTTCGTCTAAAGATATTCGATGTTTAGTAATAAACTACTCTAGTAACAGCACATATACACATGTGTATACCTCAATACGTTAGGCTACTGGCATCCTACGTAATCTTAATAGAGCCTGAGCGCGATTGAGGCCGTACTAGTTCAGATTAACTGCCAATAATTACATAGGCTCGTCTGATCCGACTTCCTCCAAGTGTTGAATGATGCCAAGTCCGACCTTCCAGAGATACCGACATATACACGCCGAAGCGCAGATTCCTGCTTAGCTACGACTACCATGCACTTCATTACTTGAAACCTTTCCAACCTTTCATATTTCACTTATTCGGTCCGAGCTTTGCCTCGTATCAGCAGCTCTTTGTGTCATCTAGGATCGTTCGTTGTAGACCTAATTCAGCTACCCGCCAAAGGCTCTCCTATTTTGTTTCCCTAATTATCCTCCATTGTAGCATCTCCTTCACAATTCCATTAATTTCTTTATATGAGCCTGAAAGCTTTCCAGTCTCAGGTCTTGCACTAGTGCTATCACGCCCTATGGCTTTGGAGCCCAATTTTGAATAAGAGCTTGGGACGAATATAGGCGCCCGGGCCTTCGTTGAAATCCCGACTTGATATTTTTGTAAAGTTTCCTGCCTTTTTTATCAGTGGCGATTTGTAATGGGATGAGGTTGAGTTGCCTTCAGCCGGGGTAAAGTTACGTTTATAACCAAGACCTCGACTGCACTTGCACAGCGCCCGGCTGTCACAGAGGGTTGGACATCTTCTTGTATCTTAGATCTTGATCTTTATGGTACTTTAATAGGCGGAAAGGATCTCACGATGAGTTCAGCTGAGAATATTCTTCTGCGACAAATAGAAATGACGAGGAATATGGGTTGTTAAAATAACATGAAACAGGTTTAATACTGTCTGCAGTTGTATTTAGGATTTAGATGATTAATTTCGTTCGGTTGTGAAGTCGTGATATCACCGTGGGTCAGTCTCCTACCAAAAACGTGCTTATGACACTTCTCTCCATAGTCATCTCGTGGATCACTTTCGATTTCATCATTTTTCGTGACTGAATTTCGGCTGTGGTAATATTCCGTCCCTAGCTTTGGAGAGAAGATCACGAATAAATTTTTAGCATTTGTACTCTCATAATGAAGAGTAGGTTTTCAGAACTAACAAATCTTTAGTCAGTGCACTAGTCTTGAGCCAGCTACCACAAGTTATAGCTTAGGTGTCCTCATCAAGAGTTTCCTCTTTTTATCAGGATCATTCTTAGTAATCGCAGTCCACAATTGGCAGGCGACACTATAAGCACCGCCGTGGTTGGATGGTGCGGTGGTAAATCGTCTTGGCGGGTCTACCACGTAAGGCCTAGATAGCTTGGACACATATCCCACTCGAGACAGTAGATCTCTGGTTGAAATCCGGCAAAATACAACCCCAATACTCGCGGCGCTAGTCTACATGGATGACGAAGGCATGCTTGAATAATCAAAGGTTTTGAAACGTCCCTTTGGTGGTTACTCATAGCGGAGGGTCAACTATTTGTGTGAAAAAACCAAACGTCATAGTAATGTTTGCAAATGAAATCCAGAGTATGAGTGTCTCTAAAGTCAAAAGAGTCTTCCAATATGTATACATAGTACCGGTCATGTGTCATAGCTCTATAGCTGAATACACATTAAATTATTAAAAAAAATGTCCACAATTGGCCAGGGTGTCGAATCAGCGACGAGGCTACCAAGCGGGTATCGACGTCAAATTAAATAAAACTTTGGTTATATGGTGCAGTGGTACATCATCTGAGCCAGTGCTCCAAGAAGAGTTGACACAGCTTGGACACCTATCCCATTTAAGACGAGATATTTGATTCGAATCTGGCGAAACAGAACCACATTTCCCACGGTGCTGGTGAATATGTATGGCGAAGGCATGATTGGATAATCAAATGTTATGAAACGTCCCTTTGGTGAGTACTTATGAAGGAGGGTTGACTGTTTGTGTAAGCAAACATAAAACATAAAATACGTACCGTTAGCAAAATGTTGCGAGTTTTAATACAATTCAGTAAATAAAGTTTTAATTAGGTAGCTAGCGCATCTGAGAAGCTCCAACTAATACAAGGACATGAAGATAGATCTACAGCAATGGCCTCGTCCCTTGTTTTCTGCACTGCAGCCCATAACCCTGCATTACCATGGTTCTTGGAAGTATAGTCCTCGCCATGCGAAAAAGATTTACCTTTTTACGGAGCAGTTGGCCCAGGGCTATTTTCCTCGTATGTTTATTATCTTCTAGAGTCGTTGAGCACACATGAGAATGTAGATCTCCTCTATTCATAGGCAAGGAAAATCTCTTCCTAAAACAATGCACTCTTTCTAGTGCCTTTTTAATTACTTCGAACAAACGATCCTACCCTCAAAAGTCATCGTTTGAGTTGTTACCCAGGTAGGCTGTCATTTCGTACATATTTCCACATTATAACCAACTAAATAATGACTGTCTGCGGATGCGTAGCTTCAGGAAAAAATATCAAAAATTGCCGAGTGCAGGGCTCTGCTAATACCGACATCCGGACTGAATCCGATGACATAGTTACCCTTATGAAGCGTTCGGAGAGTCCGACCCACCGTGCACTGCAGACTTATGTATAATTTAGAACGGCTTTCAACCTTATTAATTCCACTCACTTTCTAGTGACCCGTACCACATGAAAAATCAAAGGTCGTGAGGGGCTATCAGAGAATTCTTGGCCGGAGGCGATTGCCGTATAGTAGCTTGTTCTGGCATACAAAATTAGGGACGTGAATGGGATTGTCTTGTAGCTCAGGTGGCTTGGATGCCCTCCTGGCTAGTAAAAGTGGAAGCAAAGATAATAGAGACAATTTCATTGACGAGACGATATCTAGTTTTCTCGAGGCGGAGGAGTTTTTGCACTGCTTTCGTAGACATATATTTGCCCGTTGACGGGTAGCTTGTGTTGTTATATGACGAGGGCTTCTTTTATTATCGTTAAGGCGTTTGGTACCGTAATATCATTCCTCTATTCTGGTATCTGGTATCACTTAAATCGTCGTAATCAACTTGAATTTTGTCGGAAGTGTATCTCCGAGAGAGTTAACTTACCTAAAAGGGAGACGAAACTCGACACCTGTCAGGAGTATCCCCTACAAGCCTCCGGCTCTCACTGTAGAGTCTGCAGAGCCTAGATTGCGTGACACCTTTGTCCTCACTTACATGAGGATTCCCAATCGCTTTTGCCGTCTGTATTGTCTTCATCTCTCAACACACCCCTATCAACATCATCATAAGGCCAACCACGATCAGATCAGATATCATGGTCGAAGCCCTTCTCATCACCAATCCTTGATCATGGGGGAGAAGCCATTTAATGAGTTTCAGGAGCGTGCCCAGAACCTGATACGGCGATGGTGGATTGGATCAAGTCGTCATCTAATGTTACAAAAAAGGGAGATACAGCTGAATATGCGTACCCAATGTAGACCCAGTGTCTGGGCCTCTCCTAGCTGGAGCAGCAGGCTTTTTGAAACTTTTTCTCGCGCACGCAGTTTCCGTTGCTACCATTCTTTTTGATATGAGGTTCCGAGGACAGGCAATTGAATAGATACTCATCACGAGCAATATGTCAATGATCTTTGAAGTAACAGAAGAGGCAAGGTGTGCTGTACAAGGTGTGGCCTGGGTCAGAGAGGAGCCCAATGTGCTTGATAGCCTTAGACTCGAGTAGTGCAATAAACAAATTCACTCACTCACCTTGCGGTTAAAGTAACATGTTAATTTTATTGCGATGTAAAGCCTATGATTGAAGGGACAAGCTACTGTTTCAATGTGGAGCATCTTCTTGAGAGATCGTCAAGGCTAAATAGTTTGTGGTAATATTAAAGAGGATTCTGGTAAGATTAACAGGGCTGATACTACTAAGATTCGCCGATTTTAAATGTGCTTGTGCTTGCTTCTGACCATATTCAGGAGGGCAAGACTGAACACCTGTACGTGGTGTCCTCTACGAACCTGGAAGTAAAATATTCTCCCAGAGCCAAGTTCAGTCAAATTTCGCAATATCAAAGAAGTTGGCCCACGAGGCAAAAATCCAAATTACTCATCCACGTCGTTATTTCGCTCCCAACGAGTTTGACTCCTATCTTCGTCTCATCGAGTCTACAAGTACGACCAAGTACATCCTCATTCCAATGACCACACCACTCTTCGACCTTCTCTGGCCTCAGCTGGTCACCAAATACACGCCCACGCCGATATTTATACCCGACGGAGGAAGCAAAGCGTGGAGCACAAATCTGGGAGATAGCTCTTTGGGATGGACGTGAGAGGGATCTGGACAAGTTGACAAGATGATGCGAAGGACGGATATAACCTCGAAGGGCATGAGATTCCGAATTCTGGCAAGGAGTTTTTCGAATTGGGCTTTGTGCGCGCCAAGACTTCGCTTGCGAGAGTGCAGCTGACACTACAAAAACAAGCAAACGATGGAAGGTGCCGTGGTCCGCCTCCTGGTGGTGTTCTCTGGTATGGTTTGAGTAGCCTGGGCACCTACTCCACTTGGGAAGGAGACATCTCAGATTACATTTCGCACGGAGAAAAGTTGAAAGACGACGGAGGCATGTCTGGATAACTCAGGTTTTTTGAGACGTTCCCCTGGGTGGGTGTTCACGGATGAGGGTTAACTTGGGGTGAAGAAAAAGCCACCATAACTTTGCAGTGGCACTTGCAAATGAGATCCGAGGCATGGGTGCTCTTCCTTTACGTTGAATCATCTTTTCTGTACTTTTCTTTGATATTGTGTCATAGCTAGATAGCTGCATACACAATTAAAATCTGATGCAAAAAAATAAAAAAGCTCAGCTATGTAGTATGGTAGGTCTAGTGGCTGGCGCATAGGTAGTTATTATGGCAGCATGAAGGAGATCCAGCCTCTACATAACGACATTACAAGTAGTAATGTGTGCAGTATGAGAGATGGGTTATTGATATAGGTCAAATGGCATAGCTGCTCAGTTGGCAGCTTACTTTGGTACGCTACATACTACTCACGTGATCGGTCTACAAGCGAACAAGCTAGGGGATAAAGGATGAGCTTCCCCCACGTCTGTAACATAATAATTACCATAGTAACTTAACTACTGCATTTTAATGAAGATATCTCCTCACAAACTATTATAGCTGTTCCAGAGTAGGTGTAAATTCCCAAATCATAAAACAATCATGAGAATAGTATCATAGATTTCCTTTCGTAACAAATGAAGGCAAGAGCACTATACAATGTGATTTCTGAATTATAAAGAATCTCAATTTATTGGACAGTCTTTAAAAAAATTTGTAAAATAAAATGCCAGCCCAGTTCAATCTTAAGGCTGAGTTGGAAAATAATGACAACAATATTGTTAAAATCTGATAATCTCCAGGGTCGATCCATATTATAAAAGTAGTAATTGGGATTTCATCCCATGTAAAGTAGGTTATGAAGATCCCAGTCCGATGATTCTCTGTGCCCAAAATCAGCCCTAAGAAGAAGATTGAGTTTTTTAGCCCATCAACATGATTGGTTATCTCAACAAAGTGCTGTGAGGGGTATGTAGGGTCATCCAAGCTCATAGTTTAGGACCACTGCAAGTCTTAAACAGCTTCTATCCCATAGCCATATGCTGGCAAGATTTAATTCGTAGATACACCTTACGCCGCAAACCCCTCGTTCCCTCCCCTCTTTATGTCCAGGATGTTTTCAGGGGCAAAAGTGCCGTGAAAACGTCTTAGATATTAAGTGTTGCAGGACTTATGGGACGTCGAGTGACTAGGCTCAGTATAGCTGGTCAACTGCCGTTTTCCCTCAAATGTCAATGATAACTTTCTGAAATTTTCCGTTGGTTCGTAGTTAATTGCTACATCGAAATAGTGTAAAATTCAGGAAATGAGTACGGAAAACCGTAAATCGAAAAGGATTGTTGTAGGGCAGATTGTCTAGCATCCACTCATTCCGGGTAAATTTGGTATATTGAGTATCCGATGCAAACAAGATGCCCTTCATCGCGTGAGATAAAATAAGTGCAATTTCGTGGCATTTGTTTCAAACACTCGGACTTCTATTTGCAACGAATGTACGATGCAATGACTTTATTACTGTCAAGCCTCGCGTTTGTGCGATAGGGAGTGACCTGTGTTCAACACTGCGAGTAGATCTCTGATTAGTGTGAGGGAATTCTCCGAGACAAATCTATCCAGCTACCCTACCCTGCAATTTGTATTTGACCCTCACCGAATCGTGATTATCGGTAAGGCTTGCTTGCGTGTTGGGAGATGAGATTCGGAGCGGAGACGGATGGGACGACATAAATTCCGAGCAGTTATAACATCCATAGGGCAGCTGGGGCTGCATGCGCGATACCACATACGGGACCTTGATCGTCGATCTTTCACCCACCAATTTGTTGCGGTCAGACAAAGCTTCGGCGAAACATGTGGTTCTCGAACTTTGTTCAGGCGCCATTGCAAATCAAATTATTTCCCTGAGCGGGTTCTTTCTGCTTGTGTGGAAGCACTTTTCCTTGCCATCTAGTCGACGAATCTTTCGACAGCCAACCGCCCACCACGCGGTCTGTTGATCATGCTAACTAGAGCAGCATATTCGTCACTTGGATCTGAGTGGGACTAATAAGCCAGCACAATGGCTAAAATCGTATGAAAATAATTAGTGGCGTAGACACCGAGCAGGTTCCGCTTTCGTAGCATAGGATAGGTATCTCGGTAGATGTGAGGTCATTTTCTAAAAACAAAGAAAGTTATCCGCGCGTCATGCCATGCCCACTGGCGATGAGCGGAAGAAAGAACTGTCAGAGGGCTCGGAGCGAACGCTGCTGGAAAGAAGCCGTGAATGAGGCATATGGGGGGGGTACTGGTTTATTGTATTATTTGAGTCGAAGTCTATCTAGCAAATTTTGCTGCTCTCTGACCTCGGCATATCTTGTATAGTGCTCTCATCCTCTTTTGATACGAAAAAAGAGCTCAGATTCAATGCTTGTGATTGATAACCATTCAAGTCAGTAATTACCAACGTAATTAACCACCTTTGAGGTAATACACTACCCGAGGCATAGATAATCCCGGTCTAAAGGTAGAAAGGCGCCGCATTCACTGACATAGTCATTGACTTCAGAGGGCATTAAAGATACACACATCAAAGCGCCTGGCACGAATCTCAGCTGAAAAATAACTCAAGATATGAGGTAAAATCCGAGCATTGCCAGATGTTAAAGTTGGGCATGGGGTGAGCGCTAACGAGGGAGCTTGCCCTCGCTAACTATGCGCTTAGTTCTGCCCTAAATCCAATCAGAATATCTTCCTAGCATCGCACATTTTTATCGCACACTGCAGCCATGGGATATGGCGCATCTCGCCCTAGGCCAAAAGTCTAGCATTAATGTTAATCGAAATGGCGCAGATTCACCGCATTCTACTCCCTGCAGCTGAGAGGATGCGGTAGGAAAGTGCACGAGCTAAAACTTCAGGCACGTACATTCAGTCAAACCTTTTCATGAAAAATAGCGCGTTGTAGTCCACAACAAGCAAGACCTGGACACGCAGCAACTGAGAACGGATGGTCCCGAGCCCGCCCGTTCCCACTTCCCCAACCTTGTGAGGGATAAGGCTGACATGGCCGCTTACGATAGTGGTAGATAAGATATTGGCCGTGCCTATCGTCAAAAGTAGTCTTTGGCGGTTGATCATTAACGCATCTAAAGGGTCTATGTAGTGACGCGGCTAAGTGCTCAACATTCGTAATCCCTCAAAGCTCCAATATGACTGACCAGGCCTATCACAAACAACACTGATTTGAAATGCGCTACAAAATTTGAATCGCCTTGACTAGGGTCTAACGAAAACCCTCTTCCACACCTACAGTGGCACAGATAATAGTGTGTTGGCCTTGAGTGGAGAGCCAAATAATGTGCATCGGGTGCGCGGAAAGTTAGGCCGGAACGGCGGTCTAGTTTGGCTCTCTCAACCCCTTGCTCAAAAACTACAAGACACAACTGCGATGACGTACCTTGAAAAAATCAGTTCGAAGCGTAGACCTGATGAACTTTTGCTTCTATCGAGAGCCTATTTTTCCAGGGGAGGATGATTGTGTGAGGGGGGAGTAAGATACGAGTATAAGTACTTACCAAATGAACGAGTGGTCTAACAATATTTTCCGTCCAAAATTCAGAGCGTTACACATCCATTAAGTCAACCATTAAGCTTAACGATAAATCCTGAGCTGTGCTTTGGAAAACGTCAATTCTTCGCTGCCATTTTTTATCTTCCACGATGCAGCTACTTTGCTTATTATCGTTGGTCATATTTCCTGCCATCATATTCGCACATCCTATAGTATCTGGTGTAGTGGAAGGAACTGCCTCATGGTACAATACTGGCCTAGGAGCTTGTGGGCAGACGAGTAATGTACGCCCTCTACTCAACATCTCTGACATACCATCCCATTTCTCTCTGCTTATGATTACTTCACAGGACGAACAGATGGTCGTAGCGCTTCCTGTCGCTCTAGCTGGTTCTAGTTGCTTCAAAACGATAACTTTGACCAATGTGGCACGCACTCCTAGCCCAAAGATCGTAGCGACTGTTATGGATAAGTGTATGGGATGCAATGGTATGGATGTCGACCTAAGCCCGGCTGCCTTCAAAGCTTTGAACGCCGGCGATCTAAGCAAAGGCAAGATAATAATTCAGTGGTAAGTTCTGACCCGGGCACAAAAAGCCTCCCTATTTCATATATCCTTGCTGTCAACTAATTTTTTCCTCAAAGGGCTTACAACTAGCATCAGCAATCCTGCGGGTACTGGGTGGCTTCTTTCTAGTTTAAGTACCTTTTCAATGAATTTTTTTTGCTCATCAGCTATGCTTTGATATGACCCTCCTCATTTTGACTATGTTGCTATATTGGGGCTTCGTACTCGTAATAGGCCTTACTCCCTACCTCTACCGTGATCCCTGATTACATGTTCGAAATATTGACTTAACGTCTTAAAATCGTGTCTTCAACCGGCCACCTAGTCCTGTCCATATTGGGGGTGAAAATGGTGTTGGGGTCTTAGGTTGGTAACTTTTAATTTTCTCGCTCAAAGAGCCCTGTGCTGGAATGATGCTTGCAGAAACAATGGCATGAGTAGAATCTCTATTTGGATCAGGCAAAGGGCTACCTTCAAAGCCAACGTGAAGGTTTTTGTTTTGTTCATTAACGTGCTAGGTTACATGGCTACCGTTGCACTCCTATTGGAGCTTAAGCACGAGTGGGGTTGGGCCGGATCAGGTTAACTACCGTGAAGTACAGATAAACCTCGTCCCACTTTAATGACTGGACCACCTCAGACTTCACCCATGTGTTGAATCATACCAAGTCTAACCGTCCAGAAATCTGCTGTATACACGCCGTAGCGCAATTTCCTCCCCAGGCTCGGCCACCACGCGCCCGAGCCCTTGACATCCTCATTGACTCCGAAATATAAATAACGTCCAAGGTCTCATCGTTGCTCTAGCCTTGCACTTTCATATCGTACCGTTGGGTTGTTTTCGTCACTGGGGATTTATGTAATCCCCTCTGTGCATCTTCCCTCTTCTTCCTCCTTTGTACACGTCCCGTTTCCATCATGACTTTCCTCATTAGGGCGTGTGTAGTTAGGTGATCGGACGGGTATGGAGGTAGGTCGCAGGTGTAGGATCGATTGAGAAATGCTTCTTCGCATGTATAAAAGGAGTTTAAGAGATGTCGGATATTTGAATACGACCCCCAGACAGACCTAGGCCCATTCGTGAATCGTATGTTGGTGGTGATGACTTTTTGTTCGACGTTGTTCCGGCTGTGAAATCTCTGCCGATTGATTTTTCGACCAAAATATCGAGTGCCACTCCTTCAAGTCGAAAATCCATCAATTGAAATTCATCCCACCCATTTTCGTGACTGAATCTCGGCTCTGGGAGAATATTTCGCTCCCAGGTTCGTAGAGGACACCACTGACAGGTGTTCAGCCTTCGTCCTCCGCCAGCGTGAAGGTATATCATTGAATAGTAAATTATAGTCCCTAACATTTCAGCCTCGTATCCTCAAGTGTAATTGCCCAATATAGCCCGGCAGCTCGCGTTAGCTCTTAGTTCGCTCGAAACACTAGTTTTGGTTAAGGAAATAATGGTAACTCAGTCATCAAGCTGTGAAACGCGTCCTTTTTTTTGTGCAACTTGCCAGTGTGCAGTTATCTAACTGTGGCGCACGCTCAATACTGTGTGTACACGTTGGATGATTCTTGACCTATAATGCAAGTATGAGCATCCGGCGCGTACCGCAGTGAAACTTAGTACATGATATTTAGTCAAGTGTGTATCAACAACGCGGTCTGCATGGCAGCTCCATCTTTTCTTATTAATAATAGTTCGCGTGCTACATGGTCCGAACAAATTTGACTATTATACAGCTCTTATCTCCAGAGTGTGAGGACTGAACATCTACCCACGGTGTCCCTCATAATCCAGGGTGTGACATTGTCCCAGAGCTCAGTTAAGTCAAGTTTCGGATGTTCAAACTCAACACCTGTCAGTAGAGTCCCCGACAAAGGTTCAGATTTGATTGTAGGACCCACAGAGCTGAGATTGAGTGAGTGATGTGTTTCTTGTGCCACTTGAGTCTGTGATAATCTAGCACATTGGGCTCCTCTCTGACCCAGGCCACACCTTGTACAGCACACCTTGCCTCTTCTGTTACTTCAAAGATCATTGATATATTGCTCGTGATGAGTATCCATTCAATTGCCTGTCCACGGAACCTCATATCAAAAAGAATGGTAGCAACGGAAACTGCGTGCGCGAGAAAAAGTTTCAAAAAGCCTGCTGCTCCAGCTAGGAGAGGCCCAGACACTGGGTCTACATTAGGTACGCATATTCAGCTGTATCTCCCTTTTTTGTAACATTAGATGACGACTTGATCCAATCCACCATCGCCGTATCGGGTTCTAGGCACGCTCCTGAAACTCATTAAATGGCTTCTCCCCCATGATCAAGGATTGGTGATGAGAAGGGCTTCGACCATGATATCTGATCTGATCGTGGTTGGCCTTATGATGATGGTGATAGGGGTGTGTTGAGAGATGAAGACAATACAGACGGCGAAAGTGATTGAGAATCATCATCGAAGTGAGCATTTTGTTACTCAACACGGCGGTGGCGGGCTGGATTAAGTCGGCCTTTAATGTTGCGAAGAAGGGGGATTCAGATGGATTCCGCATCTTGTCCGGTTAGGGCTACAGGTGTTTTGAAATTTTTGCCTGCACGTGTTGTTTCCATTGTTACCATCTTTTGGGCTGAAGGTGACTGAGTTCCACGAGTAAATACTGAGCTGAAAGGCTATCAATCCTGGGCATGATATCAAATTTCTTCTTCTTCAACGAAGAGAATTGTGCTGCTGAACAAGGTGTGGCCTGGGTCAGAGAGGAGCCCAATGTGCTAGATTATCACAGACTCAAGTGGCACATTAGACCAAACCAGACCACAACGTGTAGTCAGAGTCAAAGGCAAATTCTTCACCTTCAAGTGGTGCCGGTTTAACCACTCTGTATGCTCTGCACATTTGGCAAATACAAGGAGAGTTGTATCTGAATCAAAGTCGAAAGCAACCTCAAGCATATCTAAAATTAATGACTTCTCATCAACATCAGACCTATTTTCTCACGGGAGTCCTTCAACTTACTCATAACACAGACTAATTCGCCTCAACAACTTTATAATTAGTCGTACCAATTGCAAACGGGAATTTGCCTCACCAAAAATCAGCCATCTCGTACTGCAAAGTTGCGGTGCTATGTATGCCCGTGAGGAGCAAACTAAGTTATAATATACAAAGCTTTATTCTTGGTCTATGGGTGACTGTTGGTCTAATGAGGCTTCACATCTTAAGGTAAGACAGGCAGCTGGGGCGTGTGACGAACGATTGAAGAGGTCACAAATGAGCATTCCGGTACGCACATTTTTCGAACTTTTTCGACTTAAGGGTTTCTGTGGGCGTAGAGGCAAAGATTTCGGATAGTGCAACTGACACTCTAAAAACAGGCAACGATGGAGGGGGTTTTGTTCCGCCTACTAGTCGTCATCTCTCCGAATTAAAGTCTGGGTAGCCTGGACACGTACCTCACTCGAGAAAGGGAGGACTGTGAGGCCATATCTCGCGCGGCGACTATTTAAAAGATAAGAGAGGCATGTCGGGGAAGAATCAAGGTGGTATTAACAATTTAAACGTTAAAATGACGTTAGTGGAAGGTCATTTTTGCCAAAAAGCTGCGCAGCGGTCCCCGCTGCCTTTACCATCAATTCGACATCGTGAATCCAACTTTTATATCTTCCTTAATCTCCTCCCGTCATTTCGCTTTCTGTGCTTCCACATAGCAGGTGTGGGTAAATCCTGCGGTTTTGACGCGTCTCAAAAAGCGACAATGGTCGCCAATAACAACAGCAGCGGAGCGCAGATAGCTCCAAAAGATAAGAATTTAGAATTCCTGAGGGAAACTTTTTAAACAGGTTAGACTAATCGTGATGGATGAGATGGATGAGGAGGACTTACCATCCATAGAGGATGTTAACGAAGCCGTGAAGGCATTCAATGCTCACAAAAGGGCCTGGAAGGAAATGTCTCAGAAGACGTTTCCAATCGAGGAGAGAATGATGGCGTTAGAGGAAGTTTTCAAGAAGAGATTCGCAGATCCTGCTCGAAAAGCTGCTCCAACAGTAACTTCGGGCGCGCTGCCATCAAGGAGCTACGCATCGGTCGTAGCTCCGCAAACGACGAAAACGGCGATATGAACCAGAATCGACGGAACCATAATTTGCAGCCAGAAGAGCTGTTATCAAAAGTAAATGAACACATCCCAGGCGCATTTGCAATTCGGTAGATGCGAAACAACGACACCAAGGTGTTTGTCCAGTCGACGTCCCAGAGAGACGCGGCGCTAAATATACGATAACCAAAGGAATTTAAAATCTTGCGGCAAGACTCTCTAGCCGAGGTCAACGGTGTCCCATTGCGGACACGGATCGAAGGGAGAAGAGATGCCAACAATTTTGCCATAATCCGGGAGATAGAGACGGCAAAAAGGGAACGAATCCTAGGTTTTACGATCAATAGAATTCAATAGTTATATGACGGAAGGGAACGTCAGCGGTCAAGGAAGATGGCCGCATTCGTGGAACAATAATGGTTAGCCTCCCATCGGAGGCAATGCAAACGAGAGTAGTCCGTAACGGCCTAGTAATGAACGCCATGTTCTTCACCGCGCAGATGTGGCCACCACGTACCCAACCAAAGCATTGCTTTAACTGCAGCCAATGGGGACACACAGGCGTCGTGTGGAAAGATAGCTCGGTACGATGATTGCGCTGGTGCTCACCGAACTGGGGACTGTCCGGGGAAAAGGATATCTTGTGCGAGCTGCGGCAAGGAACACCGTTCGTGGCAGAAAGCAGCGTGTCGGACCTACCAGGTCTACAAGGGAAGTGTGGAGAAGGCTCGGATGGAGCTTTTATCGAGAACGGCGAAAATATGAAATGAAAACCTACAATGGTATCAAAACGAACATTCGGAACGACTGATGATCAAGAATTTCCTTTGGTCACTAGTAAGAAGGTTCAAGGACTCAAAAGGGGGCTAGGATGAAAGCATAAGATACTCGAAGCCCCTGTGACATTTACCATCCCGTCGACAGTGACACCACCATCGGGGCCAGCTCTTCGAACACTTCGACGACCAACGCCGAGTGAGGAGGTGCCTTCTCTATTCCATCTCTCACAGTAATAGTCTGATCGAAGGGGGGTTAACGAAATCCGTGGAAAGTTTATGAATTTATGATTAGAAGAAACGTCCTCAGCATTAAGCCGGGCCGGTTCAGAGTGGCAGGACACCGGGGTTTGTTTGTTAAAAGCTTTTTCCTTAACCAAAGTGGCTTAGCGACTTCATGGTTCAGTATATAGACACGGCACAGGATGTTAAACAAGACCAATTCATTCAAGGCATGTTAGGAGAGCCAGAGGTTTTTTCTGGTTTCCCTTTGGTGGATGTCAACAGTTGAGAGAAGGGTGAAAGTCCCTAGCACCAAGGTCTCGGGTGGTATCAGCGAATGCACCCACTACATGAGTAGTCCAATTATCAAACTGAATTATCGTCGTATACAGTCGTCGGGGAAGGACTCGCCTTCTCCGTATCATGCTCCAAGAGGGATTGGCCGGTACCCGTCACGAATAAACATTCCTTCACTCACTCCAAAATGACTCGCTCAAACCCGGAATCTAGAGCGTACACCAAATGAAATGCAAACTTTTTCCTCAAAATTTTGTACAAGGTTGATTTAAAAGCTAGAAGTAATTTAATTATCCAAGTTGAACCCCGTGCATCTTGCTTATTATGGGAAACAGTGACGTACATGCTATTTGCTCGTGACTCTGGTATTTGTTCTAAAATCCGAGTGATTATCTGTCATTTTCAATTGGATGCTCGCGCACAATGCCATGGGGTCTATGTATATATACACTAGACCAGCCTAACTCCCCTCCATGCTATTTATCCCAGCCAAAAAAACGATTGCTGAATTACTTTCATCATACTTCTACAGCTCTTGTTGATGAAAGGAAAAGAATTACCATAAATTGCTTTCGAAGTATGTTATTTCCTGACCATCAAGAGTGAACTTTTACCTCTCATCTAATCATCAATCTATATAATGTAATTGATAGAAGGACTAGGACCGTAGCCTTGACATTCAGCATATCTATGCACTCCTGGGAAGTAGAGTACTACTACATCATACCAGTCAAGGTCCTTTTCTATCTATCCGGTACTATGTCATTCTCCTGACTCTTTTATATGTTTACCTATATCCAAATTCCACCTCGTCTGTGTTGCAGTTGCGATTTTGACCCTTTCGAGCCTGATCTTGACGGTGGGAAGGGTTGATAATGTTGGTGTAAAATGGCGATATGAGGAGAAGGTGATAACGAGTCAGAAAACATCATCTTCTACGCTATCGTCTGTGTTTCGACTTAAAAGGCCAGAGGTCTGTGACCAGTAGCAAGATTAGTGTGTTTGTTGCAGTATTTTGGAAAATATTACATTACATGACCACCACCTTGAGAATCACCACTAGCATTGTTATTAGTGGTGAAAGTGTCGCCAAATGCACTGACCTGAGCAAGTGCATCGAGATCTCCACCAACATCTATATCTATATCCATACATAAATCACCAAGGCTCTCTTCCTCCCCAAATCCGGCAAGCGCATCAGCCGATGGATCTAGGTCACCCAAGTCTCCAAATTCATTCGGAGACGGGTGATACTCTGGGAAGCCATTAAATTTTGTTGGCGTGGAGCTAGCAATGGGTACTTGAGGTAAAATTTGTGTCGGGAGTTGAGATTTCTGATTTTCATTCAAGATGACATCTCCATGGGGAACAGATACCCAGCTTTCTGATTGGGACGTTATGTTGCGCATGCCCTGACTTCGATCTTGATTGATAGATGCATTGTTACTATTATTGCTGTATTGGTTTTGCTGAGATACTTGTGTCGCTGTATTTGAGTAACTCTGAAGGTGACTCTGAGACGTAGAAAAATGCTGATTTTCTGTAGAAGTAAGGTTGGACGGCATCCCAGAATTGTAATCTAAGAGTCCCACGGATATATTATTTATGTCTAAACTACCTTCGTTGGATAAACCTTGGCTTTGATTATAGTCTTTCTCAACGATTGGAGCAGATATGCGAGGTGAACCTGGATCAGGTGGTGTTGGAAGCACTTCCATTGCTTCCTCAAATCCACCATCTTGGATACGAATAAGTTCACAAACGGTGCTGATCTTGCGACCAACAGAACTCTCAACTTGTGCGATAATATCAGATACCTGACGACGGGCTTCAATTGGAGCTTCTGTCTCCTCAGCTTCAGCTTCGTCTGCGTTGCCCTCAAGATGTATGCCTTTTGGGCTAATTTCTGTAGAATCAAATATTGCAGATCGGAGTTCCTTTTCCGCGGTTCGAAAGATTGAGCCTTTCTTCAACTTGTATAATCGCTTCTCGTGCTTAAGTTTCATTTTCTCCATTTCATTGTTTGATTGAACGACTTGATCATCCACTCTTTTTCGGAACTCCTCTGCTTTTTCAGGGTCTAGTTTTCCAACGTAATTATGTTTTGCAACGTCCTTATCAGGATCAAGCGGGGCATCAAATATTCCATCAGTGAGTGGTGAAAGTTCACCACGAATACCTAATCCTAAGTCTGCAGGAACAATTCGATTCATTGGGTATGGTGACGAAACAATTTCTTCCATCCATTCATGATTTTGTTTGTATCGCACCATGCTAATTTCCCTTGGTGTTATATGGTCAAAAATGTCACCCCTTGAAGTGTCTTCTTCTTCTTCAACTTCTTGAGGATTAGGCACACCTTGTGGCACGCCCTTGACTGGGGTGATTTGGGTACGAATTCGTTTGGCAGGAGGGCCAACACTGTTATGCTGTGGAGGATATGCCATGGTTTGAGGAATTCGAGCTGGGGGTACATTTTGCCCGTACATTGAATAACCTTGAGGGCGGTTTCGAGGAAAGGCGATGGACGGCCAATTAGTGCGATCATGAAGCATGAATTCTTTGTGAACAATCTGACCTTGTGAGTGGAGATATTGTCGGGTGCTCATCGTCTGCTGTATACGTAAATCAACGGGGATAAGATTAGAAGGAATTCGCTCGCTCGGCTCTGCTGTAGAATAATGAACGATCCAAAGACATGGATCAGGTTGGACAGCTTGTTGCCCAGGAATTCGTGGAGGCAAGAGACGATATCGACGTCGGGTATGAGTTGCCATAGGTTCACCAGGCGCATATCCAGCTTTGTGCTGGTACATTTCAAGTGTCTACTGAATATCAGCTGAGAAATTTGCGCCTAGATGAGTATAAAATTACATAGCCACCATCGACCTGGATCTGGAAGGCCATTTCTTGAGGAGTCCATATATACCCGTCACTTGGAAACTCAGGTCCAAGTGCCATGCTTTGCCAAACTAACAGAATAGTCATATCTTGTGGCCGGTCTAGGTAAGTCCAATAAAAGGGTGCCTGGTCGCGCGATATTTTGGGAGCAGCCTGAAGCCATTCGGATATTTTTTCTGGATGTATCTGAGGAAATTGGGGAAATCGATATGTTGAAAGGAGATGTATGTGTGGAAGCTTAGGAAGTTAGCTTCAAGTAGTCGCGCAAAGTGTTATGGAAATGAACAGACTCACAAGTTCCCGCTGAATACCTTGGCTAGGGTCATTCATTATGTTATGAAATGTCTACGAAATAAAACTTCTCATCTACGGCGGAAGCGCTATCGTTTGATCCACACGTCGCCAGAGGACGCGACTATGTTAGTTGTACAGTCACGTGATTATGGTTGCGGTTTAAGCACAATGCATGCACAAGCCTATTCACTATCTAACAGTGCTCACGTCCTTGGATCCATGTAGATATAGAGCATAGCCTAGGACCTAAAATCAGCAAAAAAAACACTACAGAGCTGATGGTTCATTGACCCGTGTTATCGATTCTTCTCTGCCTGAGGATGACTACAAATTCTAGATTCGGAAACACAGACAACGTTGCCATTCTTAGAGTCGGCAAAAGTTCTCGATGAGTATTGGATGCTGTTCAGGGGGAAGTATAAGTTATAATCCAAATTGCTTCGACTTAAATAATAAAATCCTACCCGTTAAATACTAGGCTATTTGTTGTTGGAGGTGAGCCTATGAAGATACTAGATACACAAAACCTCACAGTTAGAGTTAGTAATTACCTCTATGCAACGTACATTCATGCAATCGCTTTGGGTCTGACTTGATTCACAACTAATATTCAGACAGCATGTTCAGGAGTGGCGTGGTGAGTGACAAAAATAGTATTTTTTTTTGCATCAGATTTTAATTGCGTATGCAGCTATCTAGCTATGACACAATATCAAAGAAAAGTACAGAATAGATGATTCAACGTAAAGGAAGAGCACCCATGCCTCGGATCTCATTTGCAAGTACCACTGCGAAGTTATGGTGGCTTTTTCTTCACCCCAAGTCAACCCTCACCCGTGAATACCCACCCAGGGGAACATCTCAAAAAACCTGAGTTATCCAGACATGCCTCCGTCATCTTTCAACTTTTCTCCGTGCTAAATGTAATCTGAGATGTCTCCTTCCCAAGTGGAGTAGGTGCCCAGGCTACTCAAACTATACCAGAGAACACCACCAGGAGGCGGACCACGGCACCTTCCATCGTTTGCTTGTGTTTATAATGTCAGCTGCATTCTCGCAAGCGAATTCTTGGCGCGCACAAAGCTCAATTCGCAAAACTCTTGCCAAAATTCAAAATGACACGCCTGTCGAGTTTGTATCCTTACTTTGCATCATCTTGTAAACTTGTCCTGATTCCTCTCACGGCTATCCCAAAAAGCTATCTCTCAGATTTGTGCTCCACGCTTTGCTTCCTCCGTCGGGTATAAATACCGGCGTGGGCGTGTATTTGGTGGTCGAGGCCAGAGAAAGTCGACGAGAGGTATGGTCATTGGGATGAGGATGTACTAGGTCGTACTTGTAGACTTAGGTAGGAGTTAAACTCGTTGGGAGCGAGAAATCGACATGGTGGAGTAATTTGAATCATTGCCTCGTGGGCTAACTTCTTTGATATTGCGAAATTTGACTGAACTTGGCTCTGGGAGAATATTTCACTCTCAGGTTCGTAGAGGACACCGCGTACAGGTGTTAAGTCTTGCCCTCCACCTCAGACTTCACGCATGTGTTGAATCATGTCAAGCCCAACCGTCCAGAGAACCCTCTTTTGATGCGCCGAAGCGCAATATCCTTCTCAGCCTCAGCCTCGGCCACCACGCGCCCGAGCCCTTGACACCTCCGCGATCTGTAACTTTTCCTTTCCATTCATTCCTAGCTTAGACTTATCTCAGCATCTCCTCATCTCATCCAGGCGTCTTTTTCTTCGCTGGAGGCCTCATCCAGTCGCCCACCAAGGCCTCCTCAGTTTTTGTTCCCTTTTGATTCCTTCATACAGCATCCCTCTATCCTTCAGCCGATCTCGTCATCACAGAAACTTTGTAGAATGTCCAACCCTCCGGCCTTGCCCCGTCGCTGCCGTACCCCTAACCGTGGAGGTCGAAAACGCGACAGAGAGCTCAAGACAAAGACACCGGTGCCCCAGCCTTTGTCGAAAGCTCCGGTTAGTGTGCCGGCGAAATGTCGTACGTATTTCGTCGGTGGCGATTCGTCGCAGGTCGAGTTGTTGGTGCCCTTGGCCGAGGTGAGGACGCATCTAAGGCCGGTATTTCGACCGTACCTTCACAGCGACTGGCAGTTGCGGAGGGTCGGACATCCTCTTGCTTCTTTAATGGCGATTTGGCTTTTGGAGGTATGAGATTGCTTTGGTAGGTGATGAGATGATTGTGGAGAGGGCCGCGAGATGAGTTTGGCTGAGAATGAATTTCCAGAGAAAAAGAAAATAGGATCTTGAAGGTGTCGGTTGTTGTGATACGAACATCAGACAGGTTACAATCTGTCTGCGGTTCGCATCCGGGGGGTAGATGGTTGATTTCATTGAGTTGTGCAGTCGTGAAATCTCTGCAAGTCGGATTTTCGACCAAAAATGAGCCACCATGTTCGGATTAGGTCCTGGTCAACGATGTCTAGCCTAATTGTGCTATGTTGTAGGCTACTTTTACAATTATTCATGGGGTCATTATCAGGGTTGTGAATAGTTTCGGTTTGGTGTGAGTTGTTAGATTAATACCTGAGAGTGTTGCATAGTAGTCAGACATGCGACTTAGTAGCATATGCACGGTAAACCTCAAACCCAAACTGATGATACGAATCAAGTTTTATTTGCTAGTTCCTGTATAGCTAGCGTGGTTAGAATATGGGGAATTTACCTGTAGATAGATAAAGAGGTTGTAGCCCTCTGATAGTTGGGACAAGTCTTCTACAATATTATATCGGAATCAATACTAGCCTCTCATTAAGCAATCTCATGAATTATTTCCAATGTCTGTGAAAACAGACATACATAAACAATGCCGACAACAATTTTAAAAAGTCGATAACAACACCACTCCTCCCGATCGCCAACTCGACGAAAGCTCTCAAATCCAGCCTTTGTCGTGACTGAATCTCGGCTTTTGGAGAATATTTCACTCCCAGGTTCGTAGAGGGCACCACTGACAGGTGTTCAGCCATCGTCCTCCACAGTTTTTTTTTATTTTTTTAAATTATCATTTAATGTATATTCAGCTATGGAGCTATGACACATGACCGGTGCTATGCATACATGTTGGATGACTCTTTTGACGTAAGCGACACTCATACTCTGGATTTCATTCGCAAATACCACTATGAGGTATGCTTGCTTACGTCCTCCACAGTTGTAAAGGTGTGGAGAGGACTGGTGTTATTATTTACACCAGCGTCGAGCTAGTCCGAGGAGTCCTTTAAATTAGTCCTCGTTCATGACACACCTCGGGCTCCGTCTACTGAAAAAATTACGGAGAGCCTACCCACGATGCTTGCTCTATTCTTGACCTATGTTTTGTAAAAGAGTGCTCCAGAGCTTCTTACAAAGTTCGATATGATCTTGACGTGGGCTCAGGCCATAGGACACTGTTTTTCCAAATTTCAGATGGAGACCCCGAGGCTCCTAACCCTGGCCTACTTCGTTATGCTGCCGCCGACTGGTCTGCATTCAATAATACTCTGAGGGATCAGCTCAGAACCCCCTAAATACCTGATGTTAACGAGGAAGCAACTTTTCTTGCAGAAGCCATATCAGGAGCCCTAAAGGCGGCTTGCCCAAGGTCCAGAAGTCAAGGTAGCAGACGTCGTTGGTGAATTGAGGCTTGCTCCGAAGCTCAGCGTAACTTTTGCGAATACGTCGACTGTCATGGTTCATATCATGACTCTCCATAAAAGGGTGAAAGCAGGCCTAAGCAGCGGTGGGGGGTCTAGTTGTCATATTAACGCTATTATACAGGAATAGAGAGGACTGGTGTTATTATTGACACTATTGTCGAGCTAGTCCGAGGTGACCCTTAAGTAGTCCTCGTTCACGTCTTTAGAGGGCGTGCGACGTTTTGTTAGATTTCCATATCTTGTTCGCATCCTATCTTGTCTACGTTCCATCTTACGTATCTTATTTATATCTTGTCCCGTGACTTCTGTCTTGTATACTCTCTCGCCCCGTAATATCACGTCGCACCGCATAAAAAACCTTGACTCACTATGACCGACTCTCCAATCACATTCTCCTGCGCATCGGACTTTCTCTCACATCTCCCAAAGGTGGATGATGATACTCGAAAGAAATTAATGACTGAAATTTTCGAAACGGGCTCTAATCTTCAGGTCGAAACCCAGAGCTGAAAGAAAATGTTAGACTCTACGATTCAATTGAAAAATGTATGAAGTAAAAGTAAAAAGTGTCAATTAATTCCTGGCTGCCATTTCTCTTACTGTTACTATCTAGATTATGTACGTCTAGAAAATGGCAAATGCTCTATGTGTCCCCAACTTGTCCCCATAGACCAAGCTTCTCATGGTTTGGAACGAAACATCTCTAGTCAGAACAGATAGAGTTCTTATTACTACAGCCCAAGCGAAACACCTTTTTTCGAAACAAGTAACTCCAAGCTTTGTAAACCTAACTCCTTAAACTTTATATCTGACATTAATCGCCTTCAAACTATCCACAGTTTGATAGAAAAACATAACTAAAATGGAGCAACAGTGAACCGAAATCCTTGCTGTAAACTCCGAACTGAGGCACGAACTCTTGGAACTGAGAACCGCGCACACGAATTTATTGCAGGCTTCGGCAGTGAACAATTACAAACTCAAGGAATCTGAAGGTCTGGTGGAGACTCTTCAATCACAAATCTTGGAAAATCAAAGAATTGGGCCAGTGGGATCCCCACAATCTGAACTTTTCCGTATTGATGAGAAGTTTGCCGACCGAAATAAGACCCAGTACCCTTCCTTCCAGCGACGGATTAAGATAGCTTTAGCCCAAAATAAAGACAGAAATCATAGATCTACCAAAATTTGGGACCAGGGCCAAAATCTTTCCTGGATCGATATTTGTCCGGTGACGGACTGTTGATTTTTGAGTTTCTCCGCTCGGTATGGGATGTTCTAGATGTTTCCTTCCGGAACCCAAACGAAGAGGAAGAAGCCCGGGACTCTCTGAGTCGTTAACGCGAGTCAAGTCAATCTTTCGGTACTTTCTTGTCGGAATC